AGGGACCGAGCCCGGCCGCACCAGCCGTGCCCAGCGCCGTGCCCGGGCACCAGCTGGCCCGGCACGGGGCCGAGGCCGGTCCAGCCGAACCAGCGCCCGACCGCCCGGTCCAGCCGAGCCGGCGGTCCGGCCAGTCAGCGAACTGACCGGTTCGACCGACGGTTCGAGTCCGTTTTGATTCGTGACTTCCGGTCCGAGTCTCTTTACAGAATTTTAGTATTTTTTTTTCCGAGCCAATCCAGTCCAGTTTAATCACGTATATAAGTCCGAGCATTTTAGCATATAATTAATTATTCCTAGCACTATACTTAGCATTATTTTGCTTAAATATTTATGTAGCCTAAGGAGAGTCGAGCCTCCGACCGCTACCCAGTATCAGGACTTGCATCAGAATTCTAAGTTTTCAGGTGGGGGTCATGTACTAGATTCCACATCATAGATAATATTTGTACCATGGCAGAGGTATGTATTGAGACAGTTAGTTCCGGGTGGGGGCCGACCTAAGGGCTTAAATATCCCATCTGATGACCGGTGGTGGGCCGACCTGAGGGCCATTATACCCCATCGGCGTGTGCACACGAGCGGCCGACCTAAGGGCCGAGGGTCTTTTGACCACAGAAAAGAAAGAAAAGAAAAGTTTACTGTTTCAGCTCTTATATATTTATGTTCATGACACGTTATTATAGATGATGTTTTATTCTGTACTGGTCTTTGCGGAGCATAGTGGTTTGCTCACGCCCCCATTGTGTTTTTCAAGAGACGGAGTCGAGCGTGCCGGATGAGCACAGATGTGGCGAAGCGTGGTCATGAGAGTTGGAGATATTTTACGCACATTTTTATGTCCTAGTTTATGATCATGTATTTGATTCAGTTATGTATGCATGTATTCTGTATTTCGGATGCTTCCGCTAGCAGACTATACAGTGCGAGACAGTTCAAACATTGCATGTTTAATTCCATTATCCACAGCGGATAGCTTGGTTGCATGTTTTATTATATGTCTGTGAGTAAGTTAAGTTCAGTTTTTATCTGTGACATCCTGCAACAAGTTAGTATTTTCGAAAACCAAGCTCGCACGACCTTTCGAAAATAAAAAGAAAAATTTTACTCTGATTTTTATAAGCTAGTAAGGCGGGGTGCCACAAATATCTAGGTTGTTCAATTCAAAAATAAAAAGATATATATTTACTAATCATTAATATCATTTTATCTTGATGATCTAAGATCGTAAAATATACGAAATAAATCTGGTACTTTTTTCCGAAACTCTATTTTTTGTTTACTTTTTGTGTTATTTACGTCTGGTGTTTTCATGTATATTTGCAGTATATTTCTTGGTTTAATGTAATTTTTTTTTCTTTTGCATGTGTCGAAATCAAACCATTTTGATGAACTAAGGCTGAAAAATATATACAATATATAAACATCACATATACAGTCCTGGAAACACCTACAGAGTCGGTATACTGTAAGTATATCATTCATGCACATATACATAACATAATCTTGTTATATACTTAATATGTACGTGTAATTTTTTTTATAATCAATGTATAAACAGTGAAATATTCAATGTAGTGTAATTACAAACGACTAATCAATGTATCAATGTATAATTACAAACGACCTTTTCTTCTTGGTATACACAAATCCTACAATACTGAAAATATATTTCGCCAAACACACGTAATTTTTACTTGTCGAACTGTTTTTTGTTTATTTTTTAACATCGCATCATGTTAATAGTGTATATTAAACGTATATATTCATTATATGTTGCAATAATCTTCTATTATACCAAAACAACAAATTGTTGATGGCAATCAAATAAAATCATGTATATTTACAGTATATAAAACAAGTTGAAATCGTACTCATGCACATATACTAGAAATATACTGTTGACGTTAACATATATTAAAAAAATAATCTACTTGTCGGGAACATATACATAAAATATACTTAAGATATACACTCAAGATTCTCGGAATTCAAGTCAGTGACAGATCGGGACACACATATCCATAAAATATACATAAAATATACTCTCAATGTTCAATCGTTTCTCATTTCAAAACCTAGATTAAGAACATGTTTCTTGTTCTGCTTGGACTGGCGCAGCGAATCAAGCACCCCTGCCGGGACCGAGTGCCACCCCCAGCGAAGTTCCAGACCCACCCACCACTTAGATGTCATCTTCGTTGTAATGCCCCGTTCGATTATAGAATTTTTGGCTATTAAAATAATAAGTCGTGTAATTTTATTTGCTATTCGTCGTCAATCGAATCGATTGAGAATTCTTGTTATCTCGTTGTAATTCTTTCCGCCTGATTATTTGAAAATATTTTCGGCCTATTTTCTAGCCTCTATGATTAAGTTCTAGGCCTTGTTGTAAATTTATCTTGCCCAATTTTATTGATCTACTTTGGGTCTTGCTTGCTTTATTAATTCTAGCCCAATTGGTTTAATTTGACCCAAATGAATTAATCACGTGGCCTTTTTCTCTTTCTTCTTCACGACCGAGTCGTCATCTTTAACGGATCAAAGTCTTGTTACGATTTTTAAGCTCACGTTCTCATCTTGCTCGTCTATATCATATCGGCAGAGGAGAATTCTTCCTTCATCAGATTCTCCCTCAATCAACGCAAGCGCATCAGCATCGTTTAAAAAAAAAAAGTAGTAGAAGAAATCTCGCCGCTAGTCTGCCTCCATCTCCGGCGACCATCACCGTTCAGTTCATCCTCTCTGTCACAGCAAGCCGGCGACCGTCCACCATACTTTCCGGCAAGCACTCTGGCGAAACCATCTCCTGTTGCCGTCAACCGCCGTCCGCCTCCGTCAGACCTAGATAACATTACGCGAGCAACCTACAGTCCGTTCGAGAGGTCGCAGCGGCAGCCTCAACGAGACTCGAGTTCCGGTCGTCCCGTTCGTCCGACCCATTTTCCGAAAGCTCGTCGATTCCCGAAGTCGGGTAACCTTTCCCGAATCCTCTCGTAATTTTGGTCGTGTTCGTATATCATGTTGTTAAATGTATCGTGCTCCTTCTATCGATTCTCGTTGATTGTCAGAATTTGGTTCGTTACATTCGACAGTTTTGTTCGTTGTGTTCATTCCTGAATTTACGTGGATCTGTCGGAACTCTCATTTGCAAACTGAGTCCTGTTGCTAGACTTTTTTTAAAATCGGGATAAATCGAGTCTTTTGTTGTTGTGTTGTGCTACCTGCTGAATATTTTCTTTGAGTTGATGTCTTGGAGATCTGTGTCCAATTGCCATTGAGATTTGTAGTAGTCCGGTTGTCATGGCCTTGTGTAAACTCGATATGTTAGCTATCTTTTTCCCGAAACCTTTAGCCTCTGTTCATGGGGCTTATTACCTGTTAGTGTCGAGTTTGGTCGGAAAAAATTTGTCCGTCGTCGGAAGGACCTTCTTTCCCGGTCGATTATTTCAACGCAGGCCTTCCCGTTTTCTTTTTTTCATCTCGCAGCCTTTTTGGTTTTTGCGGCCCAGGCCTTTTTGATTTTTTAGCTTCAGCCAGGAATATTTTTAAAACAAATTTCAGCCCAAAAACCATTTCCTCAGCCCACATGCGCGTAGCCAGCGAAGGAGCAGAAACGCGCGCGGGCCATCAGGCCCGCATTTTGGCCCGCGCGGCCCGGTGCCTCTCTGCACACTCAGCCCGCGTATGGCCTTCCAGGCCCGTGCCCTTTTTCTATTTCAGGCCTCATGTGCCAGGCCCATTTCGCGTGTTATCTCCGGCCCAATTCGCGTGTGTAAGGCCCAAGTATGGGGCAGTCTTTCGCCAGCTTCTACCAGCGCGGCCCAGTTCAGTTTTTATTCCAATTTTGAGTTCTGGAAACTCGATTTTAATACCGCTTTCAATTTTAAAAATATTTTTAAAATAAGAAAAATTTGGAAAAAAATTAATGTAAGTCCCGAGACTCCAATTTCATCCTCCGAGTCATTTTCCTTTAAGAATTTGAGAGTTCTAAGTCCACAAAAAATTCCGATAAAATCTCTTAATCATTATTTTGATTAAGTGTGAGTATCTAATAATTTTCTAATATCAAGATAATATATTTAGGGGTCGTTTACAAAGGGGGAAAGGATTAGACATTTTCATCCCTCCAAGTGGCCGCATTTTGCCACATCATATTTAGTCCCTAATTTACTATACATGATACAATCTTGTCCTACCCAATCATCTATTTACTATCCATGATATATTTGTGTGGTATTTGTCCCTCTTTTACATATATACCCTTCATCCCAATCTTCTCTTTCATTTCAAATCGACACCAAGACCCTTTCATCCCAACTTGTCTGGAACCCTAATTTTGCGCCCCAATTTTCACGAATTCACCTACCACTCCCAGCATAATCCGATTTATACGACGTCACCTCCCAGCATAATCCACCTTGGGCTTGCGTTCGAATTCATAGGAGGGAGCAAAAATTTGAAAGCGCACGGCACCGCGAGGTACGCTTCGGGCGGAGAATCGAAATATTTGAATCAATTGTTATTTAGAAATCACGTTATTTGTACCCCCTTTTGTGAGGAATCGTTTGTACCCTAGGCTCTCGATAATTGATTTTGTGTTTAACATATGGTGTGTTCCTTTTTGAAGTCGACTCTGTAAAATTTTAGGTTTCAGACTTTTTTGTGCAAATTTTGGTTCGTTCCACATTTCTTGATGTCTGCCTCTGTTCTTTCTTTTTTCTTGGCCCGTGATTATTGTGAGGCAGTGGTTCAGGGTTGAGAAATTATTAGTTGTGGAAAGCAAGGAAAAAATGTGGTGAATATGTGTTCTTGCTTGAAGTTGTATCATTTTTTGGACAAATAAGTCGGTTGCTTGTTGAGTGTCTCGGCCATGAGATGGTGATTACTGTGAAGAATTATATGGATATGTTTCTTTCTCACATGCTTGAATATCAGTTTATTTTTGGATCACTAATTAATGTACTTTTGTTAAGATTATGCTTGATTTTGTGAACTGTACCTGCTTGAATTGGGTTTGTAGCAGGAGTGGTGTAAATGAGTTTGTAGCAGATGTTTGGCTGAAGGCTTACAAGTTTACCCGTCTGTTTTATATTGGTGGAAATGAGTAGTTTGCACACACTTCTGTCTAAGTTTGAATCCAGTATGTTGCAAATACCTAAATCTCAGTTTAAGTAGTTTAATTAGTTGGCTAAACTTTATGTTTTCTGCTATCTGTACCTGCATATCGCATGTTTTCTTCTGCTTTGTTGGTTTATGTACTTGTCCTTCTTCGTGTGGTATTTTGAATGGAGATGAGTATTCTGCAGATACTATAGCCTATTGGTTGACTCTTTTGAGAGAAAACAAAAATGAGAGGCACATGGTGTGTTTTTCACGAGCCCTATTCATGTCCCAGATTGTGCTATTAATTTTTTTGTCAAACTTTGTTGTTTTCTGTTAATTCTTTATCCCTAATTCAGCTGTTCATGCATGCAACAATCCTTGAGTTAAATGATTTAAATGATTTACTACGCTTTAAATGATTTATTTCCAGAGCCTTTACACTCACATTATAGGCCCTTTGGTTTATGTTTTTCAAGGTAAAACAGAAATGAGTTATTCAAGTACATCAAGGATGGTACCTGGTGTTTTGTGTGACTGCGATAAGGTTGCTCGTCTCCAAACTGCATGGACCCCTGCCAACGCAGGAAGGAGGTACTTTGATTGTGCCGAAAAAGCTTGTCGCTTCTGGAATTGGTTTGACCCTCCTATGTGTGCAAGATCAAAAGAGATAATACCCGGTTTGTTGCATAAAATAAACCGGTTAGAAGCTGAAACAAATCGACACAGTGTCGAACCTGCTAATGAACTCCAAGAGAAAGAGAGGTACATCAAAAAGATGAAGAAACTGGAAAAACAAAATGCACAGTTGAGGCAGAAGAATAGAATTTTACTGGTTTTAGTTGTAGTGTCAATGGTGTGGATGTTTATCATGAAATGAGCATAATATGTATCAAATTATCCAGCAACTCTTATGTATTGGTGTTTTGTTGTATTTTTGCTTTGTACTCATTTGCTTGGATGTCACAGAACAGCACTATGTAGTGCAACCGCGGTTTTAGTGAAATTTTGTTTGTTTTACGTATTTGTCTCCGGTTGGTTGGAGTAAATATCATGTGAATGCTACAAAACATTATACCACAAAAATACGTATATCTGTGTAAGTTGAAAACGTATGTAGTGTTTACTATAATTGTGTGAAACTAAGGTTAACACAATTTGTAATCCAATACAGACTAGTCAATGCAACTAAGATAGTATTCCATGAATGGGTCAGAAACACATGCAGAAACCGTCTTTTGCTGTTACATCTTGTAAAAGTAAAATCAACTTTTGCAGTGGAACTCATGCGTACAAGTTAATGCATGTGAGCATACAGTGATTTTTTTGCATGAGCATTCCCCTACCAACAACAAAGCTACTAGTCAATGCAAAATGAAAAATATGTAGCTGTGTAAGGAGTTAATTCACCATTCAACTAAACAATATGGTCAAAATATTAATAATTGTTGCCACGCGCTATGACAAGATGTTGCATGTCTACATGTAGGGTTCAGCCTTTTCTGCAAAGCTGAGTAGATTGGACTAAGGCTTGACGACACATCGGCACATGGTTGCAGGTCTACTTATATTAAAAGCTTATTATGCAAAGCTCACTACCTACGACTAAGGCTTCACGAGCTTGTATAGCAGCGGCACATGGTTGCAGGTCTACTTTTATGCTTATGCTTAATCTGCAAAGCTGACTAGACAAGACTAAGGCATCACAATCATGTCACCATGTGTACATGTCAGACAATGCATCACATATCGGCAATCATGATATTTTCCTATATAAACAACCCATTGCACAACAAACGTATCCAGGCAAAAGAGAGGCAAGTTGTGAAAGATTAGATTTCGTAAAAAAAAAGAGAAATTACTTAGCTTGTTTTCATAATTTGCGATGGCTCCTGATTTTGGTGTAGTGCAGGTTGACTTCTTGTACGACCTATATTGGACACCGAAACTTGATGAGTTCTTAATCGAATGTTTGCTTGATGAGAAGTTGTGTGGTCACTTTGTTCCTGGTGCAGCTAATACTGACTCCATCGTTGATACTACGAAAGCAATAAATTCGTATCATCGTAAGAGCTTTTCGACGGAGTACATAAGAAGCCGCGTTGATAATTTAGCCAAACGACATGAAATTTTCACATCCCTGAAAGCGAAGGATGGTGTGCAATACGACGCCGGCCAAAACAAGTACCATTGTTCGGACAAGACTTGGTATCAACTGGTAGATGTGAGTTTTGTCAATGATTTGCCATTTGGTTTATTACACTCACCTTACAGCTGCAAACTAATATGTATTTTATCTTTTATGTAGTGGGATGATTTTTCAGTAGCGTACATGACGGAAGGTGATCCGCAGCATGATAAGATTGTAGAGTTGTTTCGTGTGGAGCCGGCGTACGTACCTCCTTTCGAGTACCATATCTTGTCTGATAGTGATAATGAACTCAGTATGAATGCAACCAATGGCCGCAACAAAAATGTTCAAATTATTGATGTTGAGGACTACATCCCAAAACCTGCCCCTCCGAGTAGGTTAGTGTCGTACCCTGTTCGGACCGACATCCCACGTAAAAAACAACCACCACGTCCGGCCTTCTATCTGGGTAGCACTTCAAAGCCCCGCCAACAAGAGCATTCCATCCATAGCCAGACTGGGTCAACTGATGGATCTGTCAACCAACCAACATACTACAACTCCACTCACAGCCGTGCGGATGAAGTGGATCCAAACTCTTCGTCCACTGCATGTTCGGCCACCCCTATGGATTTCAAGCCGCGTGATTGGCCGTGGAACTGACGTTCTACCACTCTTATGGACTTGACGACGCCTGAATGGCCGTAGTACTAGCCCCTTCAGTGTATTGGTTGTTTTTATGATTGTACTCTTTAGTTTGCTTGTCATGGTTTTAATGAGCACGCAGTAGGTTCCGTCTGGGTTGTTTAGGTATTCTATGTTCACTTCCCTTATGTTACGCTTGTCTTATCTAGTGTATGCCTGTCGGTGTTACTGGTTGTCGGTGTTATTGCTTGTAAGTGTTATTGCTTGTCGGTGTTATGAAGTTGTGTTCTATACGTCTCCTTCTCCTGTGTGCTATGTTCGTATTGAACCGTGTAATGTTTGTAATTAAGCACACTCATTAACAAAACATTATCGAAAATCATTAACAACCAAAATATAAACAAACGATTTCCAATATCCTCAATTTTCCCAACATCGTCAATAAAAGCTAAGTAAATCCATAATTCCAACATCGTCAACGAATCCATAATAAATAAAAAAAACAAAGTTCGCAAATAAGCACCAACAAAAGTCTACATCATCAACACCAAGTGCACAAGGTCCACTACATATTAGACTTCCCCTACATTTTGACTTTGAATTTTATGACTTCATCATGTGGGAGGAGAAAGAACTTGCAAACATCACCAACAACAATGTTGTCATCGATGAATTGTCGCGCATGACCATTCTGTAACAGTTTCTTCCCATGTCCATGTATTATATCGACGTCATACCACCTGTCACCAAACTTCAACTGTGCGGAGTTGTAATTCAAATACTTGCCTTCAATGTTATCCCTCCAGAATTGCATTGGGATTGACTAATATATAATAGACGTGTTTAAGGACAATGTTATAAAATATGTCATTTTAATGAAACTATAATATTACATCAAACAACATACCAGACGAGCACGCTCCACATGAGTTGGGTATATCTGGAGACTAAACGTGTAATGTGGTAGCCTCTCGCAGCCATTGGGCTCCATAACCCACACTTCAAAATCGAAAATGGTCCTGGGACGGAACACCAAAAAGTAGTTTATGGTTATGTCTTCGGCAAGAATGAAATCTCTCCAGCCATCCGTTAATGTGGGGCAGTTGTTGACCATATCCAATGTAGCCTCGTATTTACGACCCTCGATAGTCTCGATATTGCACTGTTGTGGCAGCACCACACCACGATAATGGTGGTGTGTTGCTGGCAGGAAAGCCTTAAAAAAAATATGTTACAAGTGTGCAGTTAAATATCAAAATGCATGTTATGTACCAATTTAAATATAGAGTAGGTTGAACAAAAAAAAAAAAAAAAAAAAGTAGACTATCTTACCATGGTATGGAGCGTACGAAACTGAACAGCCTTGAAGAAATGAGGACCGTCACCATCAACATCCATGTTGTCCATCCCCTGATTGTCGTCACAACAAAATAGAACCAAAAAAAATAAAAGAGCTTTGCAATGATACATTATAAAATTAATACATAAATACTGCAATGATACATATAGAATCTGAATACGTATCTTTTACAATACAACAAAACAAACACATCAATAATGTCTTGAAACGCAAAATGAAAAACAAGCACATCGACTACAAAGTATAATAGAGGCAAATCCAACACACAAAACAAACATTAATCATTCGCAAGTCCTACCACACCAAGTTTCGACATTTCACATAAGACATAAAAGTGTTATACATTTCCAACGAACTACAAACGTCCATCCTGCATCATTTTCACCATGATAGCTTTATCTTCCATGGACAGGCTGAAAAACATGGACAACTCCTGTTGGTTCTTACATAAGCGCATCGTTATAACCATTTTGTCCTCTTTTGACAGGAAATGCATATTAGACAATGAGTCAAACACAGAATTTCTTTTCTTCTCCGTCTCATGCTCAAACCCAAGCCTACATGCAATCCCATTCAAGCTCTCCTTTGTATTTTGGGAAAAGGACTGCATGATATCCAGAAAACGCTCCTCGAATGGACTGTCTCCCGTCCTTTTGCTACCGTTCACCTTCTTACCTGCCCTATTTCCGGACCTGGACTCCGTACATGAAGTGCTACCCATGCGAAGGCCTGGGCTTCCATGAGATTGGTTCTGATGTGATGGAACATCCTCATTATCCGAGTCCTGTTGGTCCTGCATGACATGCTCTGGAACGTCATTGGCTGCATCTTGAAACGATTGTGAATTTTCACCAGTAGCTCTGTCTTTCCCAAATATTTCAGCCCATTCGTTGATGTACGGGAATGACTTGTTCCTAAGTATTTTTGCATTTGGATCCACCTACATTAACCACATACACGTAATTGGCACAAATATTTAGGAAATATTATCTTTTTCTTACATCCCATGATGAATGGGTATCATAACTTACCTTTACCCATTGTGCCCAAACTTTATCATCGCAGGAAAAAGTTTTTGTCAACTCACTCCACCCGAAGCCTGAAGTTCCTTTGATGAGTGCCACACTCCTATAGTTCTTCATCCACACATGTATTTTTGAGCTGATGTGTGGTTCAGCTTGAAGGGTGCAGTCTGGTATCTTCAACTTCAATCTTTTCTCAATCTCAAAATTATATCCCTGCCTAAACCCATTATCTGCCTTCCATCCCTCGATAACCATGTCCTTCAAAATATCTATTAGGACAGACTCCTCACGTCGGCTCCACGTACGTCGTCGTGCTGTTTGGGAGGAGGAAGATCGACCACTTTCTTGGGTACAAGAGTAGTCCATGTTGGTACCTATTCTCACGAAGGCCTCTTTTACACAAAAAAGATTCATTTGCATTCTTAATATAAACACACATCGCATTATCCAAAATAATTTATTCGTAAAATTCATAAACAAATAAGCACACCAAACCAAACATGAATGGATAAAAATGTCACAACAAAATGGTATAAAAAGAAGACAAGTCAACAATGGAAACGTGTCTTCACCGAAATCTCATAATCGTATATTGAAAAACAAACTTTGTTAACCTAAAACACATTATTCTGCCAATCATGAAACATATCTTGTGCCAATCGGTCACGAAACTGTGTCCATTCTGGGCTACTGTCCACCTGGTCTATCAAATCATCTTCACCCGTAGTAGTTGTGGGCAATCCAACTTCGGGGATCTCAGGAACTAATGCTTCAATTGGATCAATGGCCATTGATGTACGTATGAAATTGTGTAGGAGCGCGCATGCCATAATAATGCGATTTTGTGTTCGAATGGAATAATATGAGCAACTCCTAAGAATTGCCCATCGCATCTTCAAAATTCCAAAAGAACGTTCAATCGCATTTCTAGCCTTAGCATGACGAAGGTTGAACAATTCTCTAAAGTTCTGTGGCCTGCGTGATCCTGTGCCCCACTCTTGTAGGTGGTATCTGACACCCCTATATGGCGCTAAAAAGCCGGGACCATTCGTATACCCACCATCCACCAAATAATAATTTCCTGTGTCATATTTTCATTTTATTGTAAATAATGAAAATCTTGTGTTCTATTTATTTTAAAAAGAGGATTGGGTGACGTTTAGGTAACATAAACGTAGTATTACCATTGGGAACACGTAGACCATGCGTCCTAGTAACAGCATCCCGCAGGACTCGATTGTCTGCCACTGACCCCTCCCATCCACAAACCATGTAAACGAAGTTCATGCTTCTATCGCAAACCCCGAGTACATTAACAGCTATACTACCCTTACGGTTTCTATAACGTGCCTTGTCAGTAGCAGGGACTCGCACATCAATGTAGGTTCCATCTAGTGCTCCTAAGCATCCCTAACGAGACAAAACCAAAGATACTTATTAGTTCGTGAGGGTTGAACTAAGGAATTCGAACGACATTGAGAAATGTGTTGTGGGTTACCTTGAACCATTTCCACCTTTCATCGACACAATCAGCCTCAACTGGTTTTGGTTGCACAACGAGGATGCAGTGAATTCGGATGGCAGCGTCAAGAACTCGGTTAAAGTACTTGCTTATGGTTCGACCGGATCTAACAAAATCAAGCTTTAAAGTGACATTTTTCTTATGGTGAGCTAGGATTGAAAGGAAAATAGCCACTTGTTCACTTAAAGGAACATTTCTAGATTGCCTAAGTCTGCCAGAGATTTCAAGAAGGTGACACAGACGGCCAAAGGAGTTACGGTCCATACGTAGGTTCTCGACACAAGTTGTGTCACTCACGTCGAACAACCTTCGCATGTAGTTGACCTGATGTGGGAGTCTATCACAAACTCGAAATAACGGGACATGGTTACAGCCCAAACGTCGTCGTTTTCGCCGAGGACGGACGAATTTGATATAGTAATAAGTAGCTAGTAGCAAAAAAAGTTGAACACTACACATGACCTCTTCCAATATAGCAACAACAGCTAGTTCTTCTCCAACCGAATCCATATACAGATGTGTATGAATAAACCTGATTGACACGCTTATTACACTGAGTTGTGGGGAAGTAAATGTAGGAATACCATCAATATACCACACAGTTAAACAGACATGCACACATTTGAAATACAGTATTATGTATGTTTAATTTCATGCTTGTTCATAACATATTTGTGCATAATGCTGTATTTGCATGGTGTTATTAAGCCATGGCAGGAATGAGTAACGCTATTGATGCTCCACATGACAATCATCCATTTGAATGTAAGACATGGCAAACAAGCTCGTTAATTAACCCTACACTTACAGAATACATGCACTTAACATTCTTGAATCATTATTCCAACTATTATTTTCTTTTACTATCTCAAAATGTTTGAGGTGAATCACCACAAACACATAATTTAGATCTTCACATCAGGTTATCTCACTATCAGCCCATGTTTTTGGAATATTCAATGAATTCCTGTGATTTTCCATTTAACTCTTGCGACTTTCCATTTCAATCACACACATTAAAGTACATAACATCATGTACTAACCGCATATTCTAATACAATTAAAAAGCAACATTCACAAACCTCAATTGATGTTATTAAAAAGAACCAAATTATTTACAAAAAAACAAGACATAATCATTGACATTGTGTAGTGTCAACCTCACAACATGATGTTCACTAAAGCTCAAAAATTACAAAGCATATAACAAAGGAAAAAAACACCAATACAATAAACTGCTCAACAAAGGAATCCACAC